TGTTCAGTACTCCCAGCTGATTTTCCAATGGTTCTTTAATTGATGTCAGCTCATGATGAAATCCTCCAACCAGTCAAACAAAATCCCTACCAAAAAACCAATACTTGAAAATTAATTTGATGCTCACTAGCGACTGACCCTATTCAGGCAGTTAACCTGAGGTTCTGGTGAGAAGCCGTGATCAGTAGGGTGAGGCAGTAACTCATCGAAGAAGACATTGCGAAGTGGTCGCTGTATGTCATGAATTGGCAGAAGTTAGAATTCATCGGCTAGCCATTGGATCGGGTCCCAGGGGCTTAATGGTCTACGAACTAGCTCGCCTTGTAACCAGAAGCTCCTGGGCTGGAACCCCGGTAGGTGCGTACTGTTGAAGAGTCACAAACTAGGCTGAAGAAACAGCTGTACAGTACTCCCAGGTTTTCCAATGATTCTCTAATTGGTGAACAGAGAGACGACGTCTAGGGAGACCATCTTTTTATTTGCGAGGTTGACATTTTTAATTGAATCCACGAAATCGAATGTGTCGCGGAGGTTGTATCTCGACAACTTTTCTTTCACTGGTCCAAGAATTTCTACCAGCCACTTCGCGATTAGGTGATAGGCGAATTCGCCCAATATTAGATATGATCAATTCGCCATATCACCTAATCGCGAAGTGGCTGGTAGAAATTCTTGGACCAGTGAAAGAAAAGTTGTCGAGATACAACCTCCGCGACACATTCGATTTCGTGGATTCAATTAAAAATGTCAACCTCGCAAATAAAAAGATGGTCTCCCTAGACGTCGTCTCTCTGTTCACCAATGTTCCTCTGACAGAAACTATATGGTTTCTGCGTGACTTCATCCAATGCAACAACATAGATGTCGGCATACCGATGGATTCTCTAATTGATGATAATTTATTGAAGAAATTAATACCACTCATCTTCAATAAATCCCTTTTTCTCAATTATATATATAATGGGGGAGAAAGTTAACTATTGCTGAAATATTTTTCAGATTTCATTGAATTTTACATAAACTTCAAGTTTTTAGATATCTTCACAAAGAAACACTAGTCAGAGAGAGAGATAACTTAAAACCAAGGAGCACTGGACAGTTGTTCCGTTCTATTTTAAGACTTTTTACAGGTGTGCACCCCCAACCTCACTGGAGATTAACAAAGTAAGAATTGAAGGGTGATTAAGTTCTCTGTCAAGTGACTTTGAATGGCCAACGAGCCTGCCCTCGTAACGTAAAGGTCTTCAGTTCGATCTTTGGTAGAGTCGTGGATAAGCACTACTATAGAATCCTAAATAGGGATAAAACAGCTATCGATTATTCACTGGTTTTCAATGATCGCTCTCCCTCTCTCTCTGACTGATGTTAGTTCATGACGAAATGTAACAAGTGGTGCTTTTCATTTTTCGTAAATTTTGAGTTCTTTTCATTTTTGGTTGTTGACTGACTGTTCGTAATAATTTTCTATAATTGGTTTGTAAGGGTTAATTTTGTTTTTACGAGTTGATCACGGATTGATATCAGTTAGAGAACGATTAAAAACAAGCCACAGGGAGTTCTGGACAGCTGTTTCATCCTATTTTGGGAATCATCGGCAGTACGCATCCACTGGGATTCGAACCCAGGACCTTCTAGTTACGAGGTAAGCTCGTATATAATTCAGCCACCGGGACCCGATTCAATGGCTAGCCCATGAATTCTAACTTCTAACAATTCGTGATTTAGCGCGACCCCAACCGATGTTTACGGTGGGACAACCATCTTCACACTTGACTGGATGGACATCACTGGTCACGACTTCTCACTAGAACTCCGGAAAACTCCATCCTGTAGCAAGTCACTAGCGAGCATCAGATTAGTTTTCTATTGTTTGGTTTGTAAGGGTTAATTTTGTTTCGAAATAACCTTATGAGTTCAGAGACCTACAAAATGTTCAGGGTTGGGCATTATTTGATATATATATATATATATGTAGAGAGAGAGGACTGATCAAATATAAAATCATCATGAGCTCGCCTGGTAACCAGAATATCCTGGGTTCTAACCCTGGTGGTGGGTGCCTACTGATGAAGAGTCCTAAACTAAGACGAAACAGCTGTTCAGTACTCCCAGCTGTGATAGATATATATATATATATATATATAGAGAGAGAGAGAGAGAACTGACCAAATATAAAATAAAATCATCTTATGAAACTTCACATACAAACATACATACATACATACTAGCTAGGTGAAAATCATAGCCGGCCATGTGACATATTTCTGTTAAGTAGACATAATTGCTTGCATGTATCAGAAGAGAATTTTAATCAGTCAAGCAGACAGAACAAGACAATTAGATTTAATCACGAGTTTTCACGTAAAATATCACATTATTATTATTATTTATTATTATTATTAACCTCTTTTAAAGTGAATAGAATTTGACTTTTGAGTCAATGTTAGAAACATGACCTATTTAGATAACACTATAATACGACGTGTGGATAAAGGAAATTTAGAGAAATAAGATTGACGCAAATACCTATAATAATATTAATAGTAATAAATAAGCGTGTCAGTAGCAAAAGACGTGCTAATTGTTATCCTAAAGTCTTGAATTTATGAAGCAGTTGATAAACAATAATAAACGTTTATCTGGGTACCTATGCAACGACCAAAACTAACACATTGTGGTCTGAACTGAGGAAACAGATCTTTGCTCCCTACCGCCTATATCTGATAAAATTTCCTTGAGAGAGGCACGGTCAAAAACCCACCATATACAGCAAAATGACGATTACTCATGGTTAGGTTAGACCTATGGTTGTTCCACTCAACAATAATAACACAAAAGCCTCAAAACTACCTCAACATTGATAGAAGTTACTGTGGTAGAGTATAACTCCATTATGGATAAGATTTTATTTTGATAAAATCACACAGTGGTGTTATACAGTAATATTTACTAATGCGACCACGCTTCGAGCACAATTTATTACTACTGCTCATAATCATATCATAAGAAGTTAATCACACAACTTTCTTGCTTCATTTATATACATGAATAAAAATTGATTAGACATTTGAATAAAATCAATATGAGATAAAGTACATTCGGAAATAATACAAGTGTTATGAATAAAATACAATAAGATGCATTAACACACAAAATCACCCTGTAGGGTGGGACAGGGTCAAAATTCTAAAAAGTGATATAGGTAGGTGGAGAGGGAGAGAGATTGATTACTAAAGCCTGATTCATCGAGTCTACACCCAACACATGCAACAGAAATGACTCAACGCAGATACCAGAGAAATGAAAGATAACATTGCCAGTCAAATCAGAGGAGGATAATAAATAATGTTAAAATGTATTTCAATTCACCGAGGCTCGAACCCAGTGCCCATAGTTTCAAACGCCAAAGCGTTACCCACTAGACCACTTGGGTGTAGTTATGTTTACAAAACAATCACCTTCAACTCCTGTACTTTAAATGAATTGACTAATTAATTAGTTTGTATTTGTTTCGTCCTTTCAATTCTTTCCTTCATCATGTAGAAAACAAAAGACATTTCAGAGAAAATTTTTTCATTATCGACAAAATCAGCTATAGAGAAGTTAGTTGAGTGTCAATTTAACAAGTGTAAAGAGGGTGAGAAAATGTACAAAAGGAAAATATAAGAGTGATAATAGTGAATTAATTATTAAAGTGAAAGCAAACTAATCATTAAAAATAAAAATTTACCTGGAACGAATAACGAAGACGTTAAGACGATGGGAGAATAAGAGACTGTATAAATTTTTTTCTGTATATTGAATTCCGGGTTGTATTGACGAATTGCCAGAACCTCCACCATACACAAATGCTGAATCCTGAAGGCCTTTGTACCATTCGGCCTCACCTTGTAGATGATCTTGAAAATGACTCTGGTGGAGCTACGTGGCTTGAGTTCAACAAGTGCTCGAGAATTGAGCTAGTAATTGTCTTACATTGTCCTTTTGCTAACCATGCCGGATAATGTTCAGAGATGCGTTTGGAAAGCGTGCGCCAAGTTGTGCGGCCAACATAACTAGCTTCGCAGAAGCAGGTAAATTTATAAACACACATTGAGGTGGCCCAAAGCGGCAGTTTATCCTTCACACATCCATTGATGCACACAGTCTGAAAAAATCTCTTAAGAAAATGTGTTGCATGGAATCAAGTGTCTGTCAAAGACAATGTCAACGATGTGGCCCAATACATACCGCTCGCTCTACTGACAGACTTCAGAATCCTATGAAGTATGTCATTGTCTTTTTCAAGCAACCCAGGAAAGAATAAGGGTGAACAATAAAGCAGAATAGGTAAGATGAAAAAGTTGACAGACTGTAAGAGGATGGTTTAAGTTATGCCTTAGAGCCTTAATTTCTTCTTGATGTAAGAAGACAAACAGAATATTTTTTTAGAAATTTCTAGGACATGGGAAGACCAGAATAGGTCCGAAGAAAGAATTAATCCAAGATACTTAACTTCAGACTTGATTTCTATATCAATATCATCTATTTTACATCGGAAACTGAAATTAACAGTCTGACACTTAGAAGGAATTAGTTTAAGACCATTAGAAAAAGACCATTTGCTGACTCCTGATAGAAAGCTGGTCATCTTACTACAATCTAGCTGGGATTAGTAGACAATGGAAGATTTTATCTACCAAAATCTTCCAAGATATAAACAAGTAACGTTGGAGATATAAGAATTAAAAAATTATCAGGAACAATCCGCTGTTTCTTCATTCAAAGTGGAGTTTTTCAACATTTTGCTGACCTTCTCATGAGTTTTTTGTAATTTTATCAGCATTCCTCAATGCAAATTTCAGCAGCTTTTCAAATCTTATGGGATACAGCACTACTTACCAGTTGTAATGAAGGCAGTTAAAGATTTTTAGTAATACTCGTTTGTTAGTGAGATTGAAGTTTACGTGTAACTTTCAATCACCTGTTTATTAATATATTTTCGGTGTGTAACATCTTAGGTTCTTGTGAAGTCTTCTCAAATTTAATTGGTGCTCGTGGTAAAGATGTCCTGTATGTCGGTGATCATGTTTATGGGGATATATTGAAGTCGAAGAAGACTGTCGGTTGGCGGACGTATCTAATTATCCCTGAATTGGCGAATGAAGTTTATGTATGGAAGAGAAAGAAATCGCTGTTTGATGAATTGCAGAGGATTGATAACAATTTAGAAACAATTTATCGGTGAGTTGTCTTTTTTTGTTTCCTTTTGGAAGAGAACTAACTAGTGACTACTTATATATACTACTTATGTGTTGCTTTGTATACAAACGTATCAATTGACCAAATGATTGATGCCCATTTATGACTGGATGCATTGCTGTATCAATGCAAGAAAAACAATTATGAAGGCGATAATAATGTGGGTTGGTGGTGGGGAGGGGATAGAGTTTGAACTACATCATCACTTTGTTCCAAACAATAGTAGTAATTGTACACAATGGAGCTTTCCGCGTTTTTACATGTTATAACAATTTAGCTGCTTTTATAAACATTTATAAATACATAAAATAGTGAAAATTATCAAACCCACAAAAACTGAAAGTTAATGGGCATATATTGAATGATTAAAAAGTTATACGTGTAATAATAATTCTGGTTATAATTTGCTGTTTATGTTCATTGATTTAAAAAGTTCGTAAGTTCTTTTCTGACATTAGCTTCTTCCTTCACAAAAAACTAGTGCTATATATGGTATGGTTGAGTTCCTATGTGTAGTTGTACTAGCGTGAATTGTTATGGAATTTCTTCTGATTTAACTGCCGAATTGATATAGGGAAAACGTTGTGGATTAAGAGGATGTCTGGTACCAGACCTAGCGGGAATTAGATTGCCTATCAACGACACCGTCAGTTAGTCGAGTCAAAGACACACACCACCACTGACTCTACTTACAGCTCTCATCAATGTTTTACGTAATATAACATAATCGTTTTGAGAAGGCCAGGGAAGAATAAGGGGGGGAATAAAGGACAGTTGGCAGGATACATGAATTAATAAATTGCAACAAAAGAGGTTGAGTCATGCCCGAAATTCTCATCTTTCTTACGCAATAAGTCAACTGAAGGATTTTCACAGAAATCAATAGGATATGAGGTGATTAACAAAGACTTGAAGAGAAACCGATGCCAATAAAGGTGATATTCGATTTATTTCTTATCATAATGCTATCTACATTACAAAAACTATAGGACTGAATCAGTTCACACAAGTCTTGTTCAGAATGACATATACAGGGATTTAGTCTAAGACGATTTGAGCGAGATCGTTGGTTAATCTCAAATAAGAATATGTGTTCGTCACCATATTAGAACAAACTAATGCAGAAATCCCTGGAACAGAAATTGTCATATCATCGGCATATTGTACTCGACACAGGTGAATACTGAATGTATCTGCATCGCAGGAGTAAATTTTAATCTGTGAACTGATTCAGCTGTCCTAATTACGCGACTTAGTTCAATAATGTTTAGTCATAATTATGGTCTTTTGAGGTTTCTGTTATTCGATGTGTGCATACATCAAACCATTACCACGTTTTATCGAGGGTGATCAGGATGTGAGCATTCCGCCGTCATGAATGTTTAAGTTTTAATTGTGATTAGTAAACAACTTATTTATAAATTTGTAAAAATAAGAATATGAATCTAAAACCAAATCAGCCCAAGGTACCGACAATTGCTAAAAAGGCCTTATTCTTAAAAAATCAGTTCCTTGGGGACAGCATCAGTGAGATAATAACAAAATGCCTTATAAATGCGGTAAAAAGAGCATTCCCTGCTGCTGAATTACGATGTGTCTTCAAAACCACTCCTCTCTTGCGTTCGGGAGTAAAAGATAAACTGCCAAATTTCGCCTCTTCCATGTGTATCTACCAATTTAACTGCTCCTGTGGAGTGAACCAGTTACATAGGCCGTACAATTAGACGTGTTTCTCGTTGGATTTCCGAACGTCACCCTGCGTAGTGGTTAAGTAAGGGACAAATAAAATCTATTCGTAGCGCTATTCTATCTCATCTTGTGGATACAGAACACAAGATTGATGTTAACAAGGCTTTCAAAGTCATTTACTGCATACCAACAAATCCTAACTTCGCCTTGAGAGTTCGTTTACAAAATATTAAGGCCGTTGGGATCCACACTAAGAAGCCTAATTCATGCGTCCAAAAGAAGCTAGTTGAGACACTATCCTTACCTTGGCCATCTAGGTTCTAATGATCCTCAATTTGTTGTGGAAATTTCCTTAATTTTATTTGATATTCTATTTGCTATTACATCTTTATTATTATTATAATTTAAGCATCTTTAATGAACTGTAATTCCATTGATCTTACTTTACAAATTGATGTTATTTAAAAAACAGCAATATTGTTATTGAGTACTATACTAGAATATTCTATGTATATAAACATACAGATGTCTAATTGTAGAGCCAGAAGAGGAATACGTCTTGTCAGTATGTGTAGAACTCTATGAGTGCGTTAGTTAATGTTAGTGTAAAATCTAGTTATCCAAGGAACTACCATCTTATGGAGTGTTTTACTTTTAAAAATGATCAAAGTCAGACAATTAACCAGTGGGACATTAGATTGAAAAGAACAAGAAGTTCAGCAAACAGATATCTTTTCGGTGATTTCATTCTCAAAAGCAGCTGTACAATCGCATTTATATACATTAGTTTACATGGATACAATTATTATTTATTTAATTCCACATAGTAACGAAGGTGATACTAATTTTCAACTTGATATGAAAGTTTAAAGGTACAAATATAGATTACAAGGGGCTTAAAGACAAGATTACATAGGATTAGAAAACAGTTACAACGTATGCAAAATTAATATTTGATAACTGGAAAAATAATTTTAAAGGCAAATAAAAGGTGATAATTATTTTCAACTTGATATGAATTAGAGACAAAAGTTACGCAGGGATAGAACGAATTATAGGTGTGATCAAAATGAGCATGGAAGCAAATTGAAATCAAAATTTTCAACTTGAAATGTAGGTAAGAAGGTGTGAATATAGATTACAAGAGGCATAGAAAGAAAAAATATAACACAGGATTAGAATATATTTGTAAAACTGATAGCATTTTATTTAATTTATTGAAGTTCAAAAAAATCAACCTTGAGCTATTCTTAAAACTAATGTTACACCACATGATCCTTTTTATTTTTTGCTTCAGTTACTAAGATTAGGTGCATAATCATGCTATAGAAAATTGCCAGTTCATTCTCATTCTCTTCTCATCAATTATATAATCAAAATGTTTATTGCTATATGCCGAGTGATCATGTATGGCTATTCATTTTTACTCTGTGGTCAATACAACTGTAATATACTTTACTGATTGTATGATAGGTTGGTTGACAAGATGTAACAATCTACATCATGACATTTGTGAAAATGAGAACAAATTTCGATAAAATTTATAAAGCTGACTAAAATGTTATTGTAAAAATAACAACAACAACAAGTTTCATTCTCTCTTAATAAACAACATACATTTTAAATGAGGATGTAATTATGCGTAAGTCAGGGTTATGAATCACATTAAACCTTTAATACCATATCAGTTTGTTTATTAGATGTACCACACAGTGATGAAACAGTATTATTTACTAGATGACAAGGTTTCGAACACAATCTAGTATTGTTCATAATCATTTCATCAATTATAATCACACGACTTAGAAACTTCAGTTTTATAGTTTTCTTTGTCCTCTCCTATTTGTCACCGTTGGAGTAGTAGAATTTTCCAGATATCCGTCTGGGACAGGTGTTGAATCATTCCTATTACACGTATTCTCTCTCAGTTGATTCGATAAACAAAGCTTCTGTTATCAATCTCTCCCTCCACCCTGCTACAACATTAGATTTTAAAACTGTCATCTTATCCCATCCAGCCTATTGTATGGTTGTGTGTAATTGCATTTGGTGAGTGCTATAGCTGAACTATTCTCTAGATTTCTTATCTTATTCGGGTCAACTAATCTAGATTTTCCCGCTAGGTTTCTGTGCTCGGCTAGTCTGACTGCACCTGTTCTACTACTTTGACCTATGTATTTGACCTGACAATCATTCCAGCAGGGTATTAGATAAACTAAATTGTTTTGTTTAATTGGCTGCACAGGATTGGTCCTTTAATCGACAAAGCTTGTTTATAATTGAGTTCGTGGGTTTGAATGCCAACCACTTTTATTGCTGCTTTGTTAGGAATTCTGCGTAAGATTTCCGGGATTCCTTCCTTGTATGGAATTACTACTGATAATTTAGATTCCTTATTGTTGGTGACCCACAGTTTTTTCTTCTGTTCGTTTTCACTTAATAGTCAGTTTTTTGTTTGTCTTTATAACTTTTGTTGATTATGAACACACATAGATGTTTTATATTTATAAATGCATTCACCTTATTCTATCTACATCAGCACATCATGTTTCAATGAGTTTATAATTATTATTATTATTGTTGTTGTTGTTCTTCCTTTTCCTCTCTCCCTCCTACGCTTCCTTTTTATGCATCACATAACAGTGACCTGAATATATCGTCCAACATAAGACCAGATGTTGGTAATTTGCAGAGGAAGATTCGGGTAAGTGAAAAAAGTAAAATAAAATAAATAAAAATGATTTAATTGCCAAATTATGATAAGCGTTTTATCGTGGGTTGAAGAAGCTACACACACTGTAATTTCAGAAGATTACTAATAATAGTAACAGCATTCAATTTCATGCAGTAACTCATGTAACCATGTGAATATAGTGGGAGAAATTTTGGCCTTGAACACACTGTCCTCTTTCAGATCACTTGGAGCCTATTGAATATATTAATCTCCTCTCTCTTCACTGGACTTACTGCCAGCTAAGTGAAGTTTAGGAGTGCGTCGGCCGGTGGTCGAACCCCGAACCACATGCGTGGTTGCGAGCATTATTCCACTGCACCACCGACGCACAAGGATAAGTCTAAGTTTACCTAAAAAAGCATGTACGTCTTATTTGAGGTATGAATAAAGAAGATTCGTTTGTTCAATAAATTCTTGGTGATGATCGCTTTCAACAGTAGGACATTAAGTGTCCCTTGTGCTTATCATGTTAACCCTACTTACACTATACATGTCACCAAGATTGTGACTAGACTGTAGCGTTCGAAGTGTTTCAATGTATTGAAAGCATATTTGTGAATCATGATTGATTAACTGACTGACTGGTTTGAACATGGAAGTTTGCAAAGAAGTGCAGCAATCCAACTCTTCACATTCCATATAGTACAAAGAGGGAGACAAAAGAGTGGGGAAGAAGAAATTCAATAGAATAATAATACGCAGAAATGTGAAGGAGAGGGAAAAATAACGGGTTTTTTGGATATTGCAGAACACGTAAAGTGAATGTATGTGTGCCATTGGAAACGATTTCGAGCCATATCACCATATTTCTCTCCAGCCATTGATTCTCAATATTCTGAGGACCTCAACCAGGAAGTCTACACTTTCCGACGTGGCTCAAACCAGCTGTCAAAGATTACATGAATTGTTACCAGGTTTTGTTTCGACCACCAGTAACTCTTTTCCAACCTGATCCTATATCACCGAAGATTGCTCGTTGTGGAAGGGGATGGCTGGGCATGCTTAATACATGTCCTAACCACCTCAGTCAATGTATTTTCACAGCCTTACAGATTGACCTGCCTTCCTTACTTAACACTTGATGCATAACCTAAATATTACTCACCCTATTTAACCACTTAGCGTAGGATACAGAACGCAGATACTTATGATCAATGATAGCTAGCCTTTTCATGTCTTCCACTTTCAATGACCGTGTCTCATAGCTACAGGGAAGAATGAGGTGAAATGGTTCGTTGTACACACTTCCTTTAATCGATATTTGGATATCACTTCAACTATAAGTTAATGGCTTACATATTACTGGCATTCAAGATCTGTAGAGTAGACTTGGAGTGTTGTCTTTAATTTCTCTTTCTCAGTAGCAGATGACAGAGTAACTGGATCACCCTTTGTCTGAGGGAAACTCATTATAGCCGTCACACGCCTAGCATGCATTATCTCGATTTCACCTTTCAGTTCCGCATCATAGTGTAGGTCGTTTAAGTTGTAGTCATGACTACTGTTAGTATTACACCCATCCAATCAACCTTTTAAGGCGACATCATCCCATCCAGAATAGCAAATTAGGTCACTGTGATATTCAAAGAGAATCATTACCGTGTCAAGGTTAGGAGCCTTCGGTTTGGTGTGAATTGGATGCACATACTCAGTTGCTGTTGTTGATTCCATCATAAATTGAAAAAGGAGTAGGTTGACACTTTACTATATTTCAATGAGAACTATTGGTTAAACAATTACATGCATTACTCATGGCCATGAGGGTGAAAGATGAGTTGAGTATGTTGTAGACGAGTCTGAACTCATGACTTGCATATTACCGGTAATCGGAATCTGTAGTGGAAACCAGTGTGTACGGTGATTGTGCTGATGATTTTAACACATCTGTTGCTTAGTAGCAGATGACAGTAGACTGGGTTATTGGTCACACCACAGGTGTCCACCCCATCCCTACGAGACAGCACCATCACAATCTCACTTTTAAAACTCCATTATAGTGTAGATTGCTTAGATTATAATTGTAGCAGATCTGAGTATTGCTACTGTCAGGTGCTATCGTTCCTAACATGTAACTTGTTAGATCTTTGCAGTATGGAAGGTGGTGTACCATCACTGTTTGTATCAACGTAGCAGCTGTTGTTTGGGTAAAGGGAATGTGCATAATACATTCACTTGAACTTATTATTGATTTTATCACCAATTGTGAAAGGGCAAGTAGATTCACATAATCTCATGTTCTTTTAATCTTTATTCTGTCTTTTCTTCTTTCATATCTCATCTCGTATGTGTATGTGTTAACTCAACTCACTGAAGGATGTAGCTCAAAAAATGGAAGAATCATACGGTGCATTGGGCAGCATTTTCAGAAATGGTTAGTACACAAAGTTTATTTCTGTATAGCTGATATGGATGGATGCTTAATGAGTTGATGTTGTTGTAGTTGTTATGGTTGTGTTTTTTCTTCTTTTTTTTCAAATGGACAGTGATTCACCACTACATTTCAGGAGGTTTTTATAAACATGTCAGCGTTATTCATTTGTTGTTTGTTTGTTGTTCATCTTATCGTGATCTTATTAGGTCATTTCATTTTATCAACAACAACAAAAAAGCGAAGATCAATACAAACAGGAATCATATTTTGCCTATGTAAATATTTGTTTGTTAGTCTGTTTTATTTCAGATCTCTGTCTATGTCCGTCTCCCTCTTTATCCCTCTCTTCAGTGGTGTGTATGTTGTTTATATATTCTCCTCAGTTTGGGTGTATTCTAATTTTTGTAGGCAAATGTATCATTAATTTAGTTGTTAGGTTGTTGGCTGGTGTGATGACATAGCTAAAAAGGCATTCACTTAGTAGTGGGGAACTACGTTCAGTGTTGCTTGGCTTCCAGTTGTTCTCCTGCGTGACATTAGTTTGTGAGGTAATCAAATGTACCCTTCTTTTTTCGTTATTAAAGTGTGTGAATGTATACATTCATTGATTGCAAAGAGAAGTATGCCAGCTGGAATCCACCTGCTATGGACTATGGCTGTTACATTTATTTAATGTATTGGTTGAAAGTCTATTATAAATAACTGACTGACTGGCTGACGGATCGACGTAGAGTGTGGTGTGATCTAGATTGCCACAACTCCATGGAGCACAAGAGTAGAGAAGAGAAATAGACTATTAATGCAATGGACAAATACATCTGTGATGAAGATAAGAATTCAATGAATATAAGTGAAGTTGTACAGGATGCAGAATATGATGAGGTGTGAATGCATGTACCCCATCGTGAACAGTTTTGTTTGATTTCTAGCATCTTAGAGAACTTCAATCAAGTAGTCTTCACCTGCCCACATGGTTGAGATCAATAGTCGATAACTCTAAACGTTGTCAGCGTCTTCACCGTAAAGGATTTATTATGTGATCAGTTTACTGCAAATCAACAAACGAGACATTGAAGTCGAACAGACTTACTCCCATCCATATGTCTATGGACAAGTTATATAAGAATGCTGATGAATATGATTGGTTATTTTCCCTTCATACAACAACCCTATGCAAAGTTATGCAAGCCTGCACTACTTATAGAGAGTAGTATCGTGTATACAGATACTTTCCAACACAAGTTATTTTTAATATTTTCTGCATATATTGTAAGTAACTATAAGACTCAAATGTATGATTAGGTCTGATGATTTATCAGGTCAATGGCTCATTTTTCTAAGTTTCTAACTGACAGCCCCCGCCCCCTCCCACTAATTCATTTTGACACAACTTCTGTGACCTCTTTATTTTTCTGTACGAAATTCTTAATCTGTGTATTTACTAATTTACAGAATAACCTAAACTCGTATGTGAAATACCTAAGCAGATTATAGAGGATTGTAGCCTGATAGTGGTACTAGGGATGTGTGTGTAAGTATTTGTTCTAAGCATAAAGTCATCATCATCATTTTGTCACGTAGATTTTCTTTTGGTTGTAAGAACCCGAAAGCAAATCACTAGGTGCAATATAAGTAAATGGATTGATTATCAAGGAAATAGAGATTTCGAAGAAGTAAAAGAAAATTACGAGAATAAAAATCTACCGACTGCGTACCCATTACTCTGCTTACAGTTGTGTGATTTGTCTAAGATTTGCTTGTATGACTTGTATTAAAATTATGCTTCATCTTAGCGCATATTAAGTAATAATCTTTTGTAAACTTTTTGGTCACATGAAGACAGTTGGACATTTATTAATAGTCGAAAGCCGTAGGGTTATTATTGCACAAAGATAAAAATGGTGATATTTACATCTACTATGCAATAAGCTATGCGAGCATTACAATGCTTGTTGAAAATCTACTGAATATATATCTGACATCATTAAGGAGACAGTACGTTTTGTGAGATAATGGAACATGCACTGTGCTGTCAGTTGATGTTGTGGCTCAGTTGTGGGATATCATACGGTGAGCAATGAACCACTAGATAGTGTGACAGTTTCACCGTTCAATAACTGATTAGTGCAAATGTATGTTGTTTATTTGCTTGTCAATTTTTGATGACATTTGAACACTGAAAGTCTACAACTCTAGAAATTGAAAATTGAGCCTTTCTAAAAGATAATATAATAGTTGTTTGTCAGCATAAAGGTGATTATTTATTGTTTGTGTGGATACTTTGAAGTAAGACGAGCAAATATATATGAAATGCTTCGAAGTTTACTTCTGTGTATCACGCCTTTTCTATCTTTGTGTTTCCAACTTCTTGTCCTATGGTGTATTATCGAATTCACCTTTTGTTTTTCATTCCATCATTGATTTTAGGTTCGCGACATACATTTTTCTCATCTCAAGTACTACGCTATGCAGATTTGTATTCATTTTCTTGTATCAATCTAATATACTATCCATTGTGTTATATGTTTCGTGCACCTGCTATGCTTATGCCACACGAGTCAACTGTGTCTCATGGGGATTCACCGAAAGACAGTTTCTCAGATTTGGATTCTGTGCCTTGTGGAATTCGTCGACGTACTAAAATTGGTAAATATTGATGTAATATTTTCTCTTCCAATCCTCTAAGCTGTTTGTGTGTGTATGTGCGTGTGTGTATATATTGTCACTAGTTGGTTTGCACTGTGTGTGGGTATTGCTGCAGGATGCAAAGTTTTTCGTCTGTGCTGAAATTCAGTTTGTATTTAAATGCATATTTTTGTTATATCTCATATGAAGTTCCGCATTGTTTTGTTGCTTGAAACAGTTAGTCGCCATAATGAATTTGGTTAGCGTTATTAAAAGACAAAGTTTATCTGAAAGTGCTATGTATTTGCACAATACATCTCGAAGAATCTGAACACACGCACCCACTCGTGAATTCAGTTCGTGTGAAACTGGAAAAAGATGAGGCATCAAATAAAATAAACAAACTACCAGCATGGAATTTAAGCGTAAGCAGGACACATTAGTTGATACCAATGGTTGGAATATAATCGGATGAGGATTATCGGTTGATCGTGTTCACAATTTATATAGTTCGAGGTGAAATCTCACCACAGTGTCCTTTCGAAAACTGAAACTATCCAGATTACAATATCGTAAGTGGCAATCAGGAAAGCAGTCACAGAGGCATGAATAGATGAACACACCACCCTTCACATGAAATATTAGTGTTTGTTAACCATACCAAGTGATGCAAGCACCGATTACTTCCTCACATCAATCGTTAAATGTTCAGGTTTTCGAAGGAAACTGTATGTTGAAATTTCACCTCCTCGAACTGTGAAAATTTGAAATTGCGAATTTGATCGAATGTATCACTTGTTCACCTAAATGGCTAAAAGGGCAGAATTTCGATGGTTTGAATTAAATCGGCTTTCTGAGATAAGTAATACGAGGTACACCGGTGATGAGCTTGTCCCAAAACGAGCGAGATGGTCTCCGGTGTTTAGGTCACTTCGATATGTGAGTAATATCCAACTGCTCACGTCAACC